GTTTTAGATCACACTCATACACTGAAGGGACACACATCAGAGGCAGTGGGGGTTCAGTGTCTGGCCCGGGGACACTTTGACCTGTGACAGAATAGAAGGGAATCTAACTGTCAACTCTCACATTAGAGGAACAACTCCCCTAACCACTCTTCCACAGCCAGCACCACAATACTATTGGGCCAAATACTAGCCTTTTTACAAGTACTCATCCTCATAAAAAATGTCCCATTTCACTGAACAGATACCAATACCAGTACTGATAAAGATATTTAACATGTTCTCACTCCCGACTCGTCAACATATTGACACTTGGTCAGGGACCGTCTGCGTCCAGCTCTGACGTGTCGGGTACCCCCCGAGCGTCAGTCCTTGCCGCCTGCGACTTTTCCGGGTTGCGACACTTAGGGGTCTTTGGGTTGGGGGTCTGAGGTTAATATGAGGGATCAGGGTTAATGGTTGATTTTAGGTACTGAGGTCAGGGATATGCTGTATAGGGCTAATAGAAGTAAAATTTTGGCTATGGGATAGTTAGTTTCGTGCATTTCCTACTCTTAAAAAAATATGACAACGCGCTCATCTTCCTTCGCCTCATCTCGTAAAAAACTGACTCGCGGGGGGTACCCGACGTGTCAAAACTGGACGCAAAAGGCTACCTGACCAAGTGTCAATATGTTGACGAGTCGGGAGTGAGAATGCATTGGGATATTAACACTCCTTTGAATATGTTACATTTTATGTACAATTCAAGTGAAAAGTTTGTCAGTTCCATGTTTAAGAAGTGTATACAAGAATTTATTTATATTTATATTTATTTATAATGTTTCAACATTATGTATCATGCTGTATATCTGATCTGATCCAGTCAGAGGGCCTGTAGGCCTACAAGGAAGGAGAGCCACCTTGTTCTTAACAAAAGAAACATGTTTTTAAAGTCATTGTGTAATGTTTATGTTCTAACTTAGAAATTACTTTGTTTCGGTGAGTACCCAAATTGAAGTACTCATACTGAAGTACTCATACTCGTAGTATAACTAGCTTCTGTTTCTGCCATCGTGCTTTATTTTGAAACGATTATAAAGTGAAAACTATAGTCACGGATGGGCTCAGCTTTACTGCCAGAATACATGCATCCCTCCCCCCACATCGATTCATCAGACCACTGAAAATGAAGATCTATAATGATTCTGCGCAAGCAGAATTAGCAGCAGCACATGTCTCTGAACTCCCAAGAAAAAACTGATAAATTCAAAGAGTGTTTTTGCTAAAAACGTCCATTCACGCACAGTAAAAGGACAAACGCACACCTTTTTCTGGTAAATTGCAATCCAGTCAGTTGTTGCAAACCACTTGTGTCCTTTGATGTCATTTACTCCGTTTTTGAGATTCCCGTAACGTTTTGTGAGATCCACCTGAGGATAATACCAACACATGAATCCTTTTAAACTCTGGCATCATGAGACAATAATGATACAATAACTCAGAGTTTCTAAAATATTTGTTTTCACCTGTAAAAGGTTCCTCAGTAGGTCCTTCAGATCTGAGCTGAAGTGAGACGGGAAACGAACCTGTAAGGAAAACAATGAAGAAAAGAGCTTCAGGTAGTTTTCATTCTCAGTTATGTGTTTGTATAGTTACAGAGCTGGTCAGGAAAATATTTTTGCTTTAGGTATTTATTTGATTTCCTAAATTGGTTGCAAACTTTTCAGATACTTTTAACAGTAATAAGAAAAGTTTCAGTCTATCAAAGAGTTTGTTGACAGTTACTGTATGGAATGGTTGGACTGGTCTTTGTGGTGGTGGCTTTACTCCTAGTTTTTTCCTCAATACAGCTATAAATGTATGTCTTCCCATCAGCTGTCTGACTCTTTAGCAGTTTTATGCAGAGCTCCTCCTCCATAAGGGAAGATTATTATCTTTCACAAAGACTCCATAGTTGATTTTCAGTTCCAGGAACAATGCTTGGTTGGTTAAAAAGGATTTAAAGGTATGGGTGTAATCCAGATTTTACAAGCAGTTCTCTTTCATTATCATAACTTTTGTCTGATCTACCAACTCCACTGACATCAAAATTTCCCCACTTCATAATCAGGGTTCATGCATTTTTCAGTAAGTTAAATTTAAGACCTTTTAAAGACCTGTTAAGACCATTAGGAATGATATTTAAGACCAAACCAACGCATTAACAAAAACATTCAAATGATCCCAAAATTTTTAACATAGAAACCTTTATTGCTATCAATTTAGCTATTAAAGAATATTTAATTTTAATACAAGAACACTAAATTATTTTAATGAAATGTTCATATCTATGAGTCCTTCATATTGACTGCTGTGGACTGCTTCCAACAGAGTGCAAAAATCACACATTTTTGCACTCATTTGGAAGTTTGAGATACTTTTATTGTAGTTTAACACGTACAAAGACACTTCACAGAGACAGATCGCATCAACCTCTGGTTACTTTGCTTTACTTATTTATGCAGCCAACGCTTCTCGGGAATGAATGAAAGTAAAAAAATTAAGATGACAAAAAACTTTAAGACTTTGAATGAAAATCTGGGTGTTTATAAAACTATTTTTAGGCCTAAAATTTTGATTTTCAAATTTTAGACATTTTTTTAGACTTTTTAAGACCCTGCATGAACCCTGATAATTCTCCCTCCACCAGCTGATGCAGTTCAGCTGTACTCATTTGATCAAGACCAAATAATAAAAAATTATCTCACCTGCCTATCAAAATAGAACAGTGACTCAGTGGATGGGGATTTATCACATGAACCTGAACATCTAGTTGCTTACAGGAGACCTGCCCTTTGGTGTTTTTTCATGATCATATGAACTCAWTGCTTTGAGTTTTGAGGACTAATTAGCACACAATTTCTTGTGCAACCTCACCGTAGAAAGAGTCTGTTGGCTCAAGTAGCTACAGATTGACTGAATCATCATGTGTGGTCTAAAGAGCAGATTCAGACTTTAGCACCAACTGTTTCTTCCAAATAGATAAACCTAATTATTCTAAAACTATTAATAGAAAACTTGGGTTAAACCAATAGGACTTAATATTTTGATAAAATAAATATACAC